GGGGGGGGGGATATGCAGCTTTGCCCTAGGCAAGGCAGCATCGCCGCCCTCAGCGAATCTGTCGCTCCAGGCAAACGCCTTGTTTGCCTCGCGGCAGATACGCCCCTGCCTACACCTATAGATTGGCCATACACCTTACAATTATCTGCAGATTTTCTATGGTCCGATGGAAAAAGTGCAACAGATTCCTCCATCTACTCTAAACTGTGTGGATGAAGAAATCTCCCACTGGGCCAAGCTTCAGTATCTTGCTAGTCGTCCTCACTGGGTCTCTAAATACCTGAACATTGCCTGCATCCAATCAGATTGTTCAGGTATTTTGACGGCATTAGTATTGGGTTTTTAGACTGTGTGCTGTCATATTTGTGGTCTTTGGTTTGGTGGACTTTACTTGGTAAGTTTTAAAATCCACACTTACCATGGGAAAAAAAATTGGTTCATGTTATATTTGGAGCAATATGAGTTCTGATATCTCTACAGCTGTGAACGTTCTATTGGTATGTTGACAAATCAATGACTTGTCTTGATTACTGATGTGTGAAAGGGAGGCATGAAATGTGGCATTCCAGTGATCATACATAATGGGGTTTTGTCATTATGATCTATACCTATCAGCCAAGGCTCCCATTCATTGCTGGAAAGTGACTCATGGAAGTTGCAGCGTACTCACCTCACATGGCAAAGCACAGGCTTGTTCTGCTTTAGAAGTACATTTGCTCCAGGGATCTGAAAATGGTGGCCGCAATCACTAATTTGGAACCTTGCTTGTGGCTTCATTTTATACCACTATGCAAGCAGGCACAACTTACATGAGAGTGGAGAGTGTGCTCTGAACCTATAGGAGCAGTGCAGCATCATTGCCGCACAGCACAATTAATTAGGTGGATTTCACTGGCAGGTTCAACAGGTATTTGAAGGGGAGGGAGACACTTTGCAGGTAGACTGAGCAAGTTTCGTATGAACGAAATTGATTTTGAAATGTTTGTTTGACTTTCTAATAGTTTCAGGGGTGTGGTTAAAATTACTTGTCCAAGGGCTAAAGTGGGGACCAAAAATAGTTATAATGAAAACTAGGGATACGAGCGAAATTCAAAATGCATAGGGCAGGACTGCGCTAGACAGCAGTACCGATTTCAGATAGTACACCCAAAGGTGGAGGGGAAGGACTGTTTGTCGAAAGGTGAGTATAGAGGGGGGAGAGTTCTGTTGCCTGGCTAACACAATATGGCACACAGTGGAATGGCGGCAGCACTCACACAATGACCTACAAGTGCGTTTTTTTTGCAGGCAGATGGAGAGGGGGTTTTTTTTACTCTATCACTTTTTTATTTTTTAGGTTTTTATGTATTTTTTACAACTTTTTTTAATGTAATTTTTATTTTATTTTTTCCACTTAATGTTATTCATATTACATAGGGGCTTATAATCCCCTATGTGATAATTTGGGGGTGACAGGTTCTCTTTATGGAACCTGCCCTCCTACACAGAACAGATGTTCTGTGCAGTTCCTGACGGGTGACGCTGTGATTACAGTGCCACAGTCTCACTGATCACACAGAGTAAAGCAAAGAATGGACGTTCTTTGCCCTGCTTTACACTCTCTATGATGAGCTGTGGTCTTGGGTCCCCCAGAAAAGCGGGGGACCCCGAAAACAGGGGCAGAAAAGACCGCCGTTGCTTGATTGGAACAAGTGATCTGACGAGATCACTTGTATAAAAACGAGCGGCAGCTCCACGGTGTACATTTAGCTCTTCTTGTTCGAAGCAGGGCTAAATGTTACAACAACAAAAGAAATACTCGCCCGGCGCCTGAAATTGCATGTCCCGGGCGTCGGGCGATAGGAATTCCACACCCCTGAGTTAATGGGGTCAAATAGATCAATTTCAATTGCAGTGGCGAGAAACGTCGAAGATGCATGTTGGAAATGTTTTCGATCAAACAAAAATCTGACAGTAAATATTTATTTTTCCTTCAGGAAACTCCGTTCCACAAGCGAATGTTAAATCAAAACAAAAAGCAAACAACATTTTGAACAACATTCATCAAGTCTCTGATGGCATTATGAAATATTCTGGCGATATTTTTTAAACAAACGTTTATTTGAAAATCTACCAGCGTATATCCAACTGAAGAGAAAGCTGTAAGTGCAGATGTACTGATAATTAAGTGCTGCAGCCAATATTTTTTAATGGGAGGCCTTAGTTCCAATTTAAAGGGTGAAGAAACTTACCCACTGAGTTTACTTACCCTTTTGCCCCCCCCCCCTGCAAATCGCTATGCTCAGCTAGATCTTGTTTCAAGGCCCATGGCTTTTACATCCCTCCAACGGCTTCATGACCATAAGCTTTGTATGTGGATGGTAGATGGATATAAGCCTATGTCAGAATCAAGAAGCAGATGGAGAGATGTAATTAATACCTTAGGGTTTGGAGGAAGATCTAGGTAAGTATAGCAAACTGGAGGGGGGAAAGGGAGGGTAAGGGGAGACAATCAAGGTCAGGAAATGTTATAAGCTGGCACAATAACCATTACGAATGAAAGGAGAAAAATCCCCATGCCACATTTCAGCCCAGAGAAAGTATCTGGGTACAATGCTCTATGCACACACTGTATAGAAGGAAACTTTGTATCTACTAAATGGTAACATGAATGAAGCCCAGAGAAAGTATCTGGGTACAATGCTCTATGCACACACTGTATAGAAGGAAACTTTGTATCCACTAAATGGCGACATTGAAGTGGTCACTGGATAAAGGGAGTAAACAGGAGAAACGGAGGCAGAGTATATAAAGAAATGTCCACAACGCGGGAGGGGTAAGGGAGTCATACACCCACTATCGGGGTACTTTATGTGCTTCAGGGGCTTTGTCTCTTCCACACCACTGATTATTCCCCATTGACAGGGTAGGGACGAAAGTGGCATTGGGAGGTGCAGACTCGTGTGTAAATTTAAAGAAAATCAATGCTTTCTATGCATATTTGTAATTGTACATGTTCATTTAGGCATATTTACTCCCTACAAACAGACAAGCTCTACTTTCTTAGCTTTCTGGATTGCCATAATACATGTGCTTTACTGCTCCCTCTCACAATTCAAGTCTGTAAGGCATGCGGTCTTTGATATCTTAATATGAACTCTGGACAAGACTCCTGTAACAGTAAGGAAAGACTAGAACCTCTGTGAAGTATTTATCACCTTCTAGAAGACTCACTCTCGCTTATATTCCTGGCGACAGAAGTCCAGTCACAGAAGTAAAGGGAACACTAGTCTGTGTTGACGTGTGTTTCAGTGCTTCATTTTGGAAGGACCTCATTTGAATTAATTCAAATTGCAAAATTCTAGTTCCCAGGATGCAGCCTGTAGGACTTTTGTACATTGGTGGAAACAATCCTCCATTGATTTCAATGACCTCTCTTAAATAAATGCTGCTCTGACATTTAAAAGTGTGTTTCTTGCAGAATCGGCTGGTCTCCTGAGTGCTGGCCGTGACATCCTTTTTTTAGGGTGGCTCCTTTCCCTTGCAGGATTCTACCGACCTAACCTTGTGTGTGCTATTACTGTGCAACACAAGCCACTCCCCTGCTCCTCCCTCTCCCAAGCTAGTAGATGGACAGCTTCTGGAGCTGCTGCTCTGTCCCTTGTGATCTTGTACTGGACAGGAAGTTCAGGGTAGCAGAGCTCAGAGACTTGGAGACAGCCATTCAGAAACATGACGGCTGTAAGTGCTCGGGCAAACCATTTAAAGAAATGCTTTGCTTGGCATTGTAGATTCGTTATTAAAAAAGTTTGAGTTTAATTCCATATATTAAAAAATCTATTAAAATACATGGGAATGCACCCAGTGTGAAGAAACCCCATTGTGTGTCTAACTCAAAACTACTAACGGCAGAAAAGGTGTGAAGATTTTTTTTTTCAAATAAAAAGCCCTTAATAAATAAACACGAGCAGCAGTTAACTCTACATTTGGCTATCTTTGGCACTATCATGTTTAATTTGGATTCAGTATTTAAACATAATGGCCAACTGGTCACCTCCCTCTGGTCCCTAATGTAAACTCTGCTTACCAAAGCTCATATGTTATGCAGACAACACCCTGTAACAGATCAGTGTGCCACTAGCCTAGCATTGTGCTTTTTGTTATATGAGAGTATACTTAAGCCGTCAACATTTACCAAAGCAGTTTTAAAGTTTTTTTAAACTTAACAATAATTATATTTGAATGTATATTTGTCCACGGATACCGTATGTTATTGCCTTATAATCTTGTTTTATTGTCTGCTCTGCGCTTTAATAGTTGAGTAATAATTTTTATGTAAAAGTAATGCCGAAACATGATTACAGCACATCCAGTATATACACTAAGTGTTACATCATTATTCTTATTTGTACTCACCCCTACCGAAGCCACACAACACACAGCAAGTTTTGGCTGCATGACAGTCTGTGTCAACGGTTTATAGGTGCTGTAATGCAGTAGGATTTGAGCCCCCTGTCCACCCTCAACCTTTTCTTTTCAACCTATTGGAATTAAGAAAGTAGAAAAATGTTTTGTGTATATACAGAAACTTGAATAATTAGAATATCGTGCAAAGTTCATTTATTTCACTAATGCAACTTAAAAGGTGAAACTAATATATGAGATAGACTCATTACATGCAAAGCAAGATAATTCAAGCCGTGATTTGTCATAATTGTGATGATTATGGCTTACAGCTCATGAAAACCCCAAGAACCCCAAATCCACAACCTCAGAAACTGAGAATATTACATGCAATCAATAAAACAAGGATTGTACATAGAACAATATCGGACCTCTGAAAAGTACAAGCATGCATATGTACTCAGTACTTGGTTTGGGCCCCTTTTGCAGCACTTACTGCAATTACTTTTGCACGATATTCTAATTATTCGAGTTTCACCTGTATGTAAGCTAAGGTTACCCAGACCCATATATTCCTTCACAGAGGGTACGAGGTTGCCACGAACCAACATGCCTCATAGATTTCTCAATCCTCTAGCCATAATGACAGGCTTCAGACCTACTATTTAGGCTACCACCATGTTGGTAAAAAAAAAATACATGCCAGTGGTTTTTGAGAAATGTGCACAGGATATGGAATTAAAATCCATTTCTGGTAACCATTCTTTTTACTTTTTTGTTCTGGTTTCTTTGCAGGTGTTGATCACATTCAGCGTGAATGGTCCTACTGAATATTAAATCTCATCCATGTACATCTATGGGGATAACTTAAATGCTTAGATTTCTGCAGTGCAAGGTTATTCACATAGGTGTACCTGAAAGGGATATAGGGGGGCTCATTGTCATGGCCCCTGCCTCCCCCAAGTTAAAGTGACACTAAACTCAGGAGTTAAATCTTAAAAATGCATCCAAGTACCTTAACTATTCACAAACATGTATCTCATTTGTGTATCACTCGGCTGTAGATCCTCAAATCATCTCTGAATTGGTGCTGACACTGTCCTTCCTTCTGGAGGGTGGCTACTTTTGTTCCCCATGGTCCCTGTGTGTGTTGTAAAGTAGCCACCACTCCAAACTCACTGCTGTGATGGACTATAATTTCAGTACAAATGAGTAAACTAAACATGAGATTGTAGTCTATCACAGGAGCGAGCTTGGAGCAGTGACTACTTTAAAACCCACAGGGACCATGGGAGCAAAAGTAGCCACCCTCCTGAAGGAAGGACAGTGTCAGCATGAATTCAGTGATGATTTGAGGATCTACAGTTGAGTGATACACAAATAAGATGTATTTTTGTTAATAGTTAAGGTACCTGGATGTATTTTTAAGATTGAACTGA